AAAGCTCTATCTTTCTATACTATCTGATCGTAATTACTTCAACTAATATCATAATATTAAATTATCTATAAAACATATTTCGACTGGTTATGCACTGGTTGTACAGGATTGCCAAAAATGTTTTTCCATGGGGCGATCAGAAATCTTTCTTTTTCTGTCGAACTTTGTAGAGTTCTCTTTGCTGATCATTTTGGTAAAGAAATCTTTTGAGCGTGATCAATAAATAACGGCGCTAGGTTCAAAATACTGAAAATTTCAAAATCCTCTGGTTGATATGCCAAGATATGTTTGAATATTTTGACCTTAGTACCATTATTTATTAATCAAATTTAAATACTTTTTTTAGCAAAATGATCAGCAAAGAGAGCTCTACAAAGCGTGACAGACAAAAAAATTGCTGAGAAATTTGTGTTTTTGTGATTGACTACTCACCCACGTGAGTGTCCAACCACTTAAATCTTGCTATAATTCTATAGCTCATTCTCATCTTAAGACTGGCAAGTTATACCCCTAAATCCCGTTTAGGACGGGCTTTCATTTGGTATAAAATTAAATGTTGATATCATTTGCCGTTGAAGTTGTACCTCATGAAAAAACATTTTCGGCAACCCTGTACAACCAGCACATAACCAGCCGAAATAGGTTTTATAGATAATTTAATATTATGATATTAGTTGAAGTACGATCAAATAGCATAGAAAGATAGAACTTTTTATTCTCTATCAGACTATGTAGAAAGAAATTTACTTAAAGCGTATTATAAGGTATTAAGGTATCACTCTACGAACTTTTGGTATGCCCTAAGTAAGTTATAGTCCTTTGCTGATAAATTCCATACTCTTAATTGATGTAACGCTTGTTCTTTTGGACTAAGTTTTGTGATACCGAGGTGGAGGGAAAAAACTCTTTTGCATGCACATTTAAGCTAGACATAGTACTTAGCAGGTTAAAGTCTCTCTGTTGTTAACATTATAGCAGTTGATTGAGCAATATTGTTGCTTAATACTTGTGGTGGTGCAAGCGAATATTTATGATTGAGTTGAAAACCATCATTCAAATTCATAGCAAAAACGATTGTAGAACTGCTGTACGATTGGTATTAACGATGCTCTATCGCTCTTATTGTAAGTGAGTGAAGAAGGTAAACATTTCTGAGTGAATTCTTTCATAGTTTTTATAACATTGAGTAGTACTGCTTCGTGTAATTGAGTATTCAGTGTTACTACTTTTAAATCTAATTTGAATTGATCAACTTTGTCTTCTATTCGTTTATTGCTATCCAGTAGTTTCAGCAATTTATTATTGACACTTCCTACTGCCATTTCTGTTTCTGGTGTTGTCGTTGTATTTGGAAGACTTGGCATAAGACCTTGTACAATGTTCCATTTCGGAGGTTGACTCACAGTATTTGTTCCTAATGCTGGAAAATCTTGTTCTTGCAGCTCGAATGTTGGTGCTTTGTTTTGGTAGAATACGATGTAATTTTCCACTATTAATAGCTTTTTCAATATCTTCTTTTAATTGCAGTTTATAGTCACGAATTATCTCACATTTATTATCTAGAGAGTGATGTTTGCCATTACATCGTGCACATTTAGGCTCCTTTTTACATATGTGTGATGATTTTTCTGTGAGTATCTCGAGACAGATTCGACATTTAGCTGATGAATTGCAATGGTTTCTCAAGTGACCAATACACCAACATTTGGTACAATAGGTCAAACGATTGCCTGGATAAAATGGAGTAACTGATAGCCACGAATAACCTATTGCAATACGACCGAGTTTTAGTATTGATTGATATTCTTGATAATCTTTGACTTCAAACCTGTAATCATTTGTTTTTCTTTTGTAGTTCTACTGAATACGACTTATACGATTTGCTGATGCAATAGTACGTTGTATTTCGTTTACTACGAAATCTTCATCTAATTGTTGTGGAACATACCGAATGACGAGTACGAAGGCGTCTGGCGTATATTTTGGCTTAATAACTTCAATATCGATTCCATTGATCTCAGTAGGTCATTTATCAATTGCGACAAGAGTAGCATAATCGACTTTATTATTCACACCTAATTTAAGTTTTTTACCAGCCCAACCCACTAGGATAAATCCATTAAATTCTACTCCATTTGTTTTCAATTCTTTACTTATTAACTCACTCGTACATATAGCTGATGGTATTTTTTTTCGATCTGTCTCTAATGGCCATTGTACATAGAAGCACGGTAAGCTCGATGAAACTGCGTGCTTCAGCTGAGCAAATGAAATATGTTTACGATTATTTATATTTTCAGTAGTAACTTGTTGAGTTGATGTCAATGAGTTAACTCCTTGACGGTTACTTTGTGTCGTGCTTTGTAAATCGTTGAGCTCGGTCTCGTTTTCTTGACTTCGCTGAAATCTTTTTCGCTGATGTTGTCGTCGATTGTTTCCATTATTTATAGAACCACCACTTTCATCAAGAGGATGACTACGTTTCGGTGTAGAGCTGTTTGGTTTCTTAAACTGATATTTGCTGAAATAATTCTTTTGAAGATAGTCATGCACACTTGATGCTGCTTCAGGACTCTCTGATAAAAACTTTAATATCTGTTCTACTTGTTCGTTCGGGCTGTTGTTGTTTTGCTTATGTTGCTGTTGAGACATATACTGCTCATTAATTGAGTAATTAACTATACCTTCCGCCATTTCTCTTCCCCTGTCAATGAGGAGAGAATAACGTTAATCGAAACTAATTGGATGAATGCAAGACAAAAAAAAATGCGTCTATTCTTCACAATGTAAAAAGCGGGAATGATTGCCAAGGAATGTCTTTTTAAATATGTTACGTTAAAAAATAACTGATAATTCTTGAAAAATTTTATATTTATCATATTAATGAACTGTTATATAGTTTCCAATTTTGAAAAATGGTGAATTATCAATTGATTATATACGGGTAGGATACATGTTTTTATCTAATCAGAAAAATACTTTATTTACGATTGAATTTCTATCAAACAAAAAACCATTAAATATTTCATATATTAGAGTAAGAATAATGAAGCAAAAACTATATTCTTAGATTTGACTAGTTTAGAAGTATTTCTCCGATGATTTCTGAATAGAATATCAATTTCTTATTACAATAGAAAATTACAAATATTGTTTAAAAAAACTTATTTAAAACAACTTCTTATGTGGTAATAAATGATTCATAGGCTAACAGACACTATCACATTATTCAATAAATTAATTTCTTTTTCTGGATTAAAAAGAAACGGGAAACACTGAGTATGAGGAACCCTTCTAGAAAAAAAGATCTCTATCATTTTCTTAAAATTTTAACAAGTCAAGATCTGTTATAATTTATATTTCACTAAATGCATCATTGTTGTTCGAAAGTCAGAACATACTTTCTGTCTCTCGTTTATTACGAATGATTAGAATTTTTCTAAATACTTTGAATGAATCGATTGTATAGTTTATAATCCAAAAATAGAAATGAATTCAAATCAGAAAAGAAAGGTAGATATGTTTCTAAAACTAAAAGATTGGTAACTATTGTTTTACGATCGTATTGTTTTCTATAAAATAGTAAACTTCTAACTGAAATCAATTTTAGTTTCATCATGCGATAAACTGAATTATATTTACAGTTTTCATTATATTTGAAAAATCTAAATGAATTCGAAGAAGATTTTACAATATTCCCTAAACTAAGTGATTCTGTGCGAATGCATAAGCAAAACTTGTATTGATTAATTTACTGCATTTTTGAATTCTGAAATTTTAGTATTTTTCATCTTGTTTTGAATAAACTTTGATTAGTTCAATGATCATCGAAAACATTTTAGTCGTTGAAATTTTAAAAATAATTATATGAAAAATAAAATGCACAAACAAAGAGGATAACAGTATTATATAACATCACAATAAAGTAAATAGTTTATAGTTTGTGTAAAATGTTTTTATTTCAATTCCAGTTCAATATAGTACAGAGTTGAACTACGTACAATAAACGGCCGTTTTTCTGCTTTGTGTATAGCTTAAAATTAGATACCCATAGACTTTGTTGCATCTTACGGTATAGTGTGTTTATTATTTTAGACATCGTTTTTCAAAATACAGCAACCATATTTATCGACTGAAAATAATGAAAACAATTACGCTATTGAAGTAAAAAAATGCATTCGAGATGACACTCATTTAAAAAGAAAAGACAACATAATGGCTATCATAAACATATTTTTTGTCTTTGTTTTTAATTATATCTATAATTTTTATTCAACAAAATAAGGAAAATGTTGTTCACAAAACTCAACACAGCATCGCAACATTTGCCATTAAATGGTGTTCAAATTGTACAACTGAAATACTGATGAATATTATATGTTAATAATTAAGCTTGATTAATCAAATAATGTTTCTCTCATGTTGTTTGAAACTAATATTAAATGTCTTTTTCAGATATATTTAGTATCTGTCAAAAACTTGTCTCATAGTAGTCAATGATAAATTTCCTGGAAATATTTCAACTTTGATTAGTTTCAGAGAAATCATTCGAAAATGATTTATCAACACACATATTCTTGACAAAATTTCTGGGAGTTCTATTTTAAAACTTGAGATTTGCTTTGAAGGTGACTTATTGATAACTGCTAGTTATCTTTTATTTTCGAAAAATAAATCATTTAAGTTTTTCTTTTTATATATTCGAGATTCTTTAACCACTGTTGAAGACGAGGATGATTAGCAGGTAATGATCGTTGTCAAATATCAACAGCTTGTTGATGAAATTGACGTGCTTTTGTGTATTAACACATTTTACCATATATATAACCAATACTACTATAGATTTGAGCCAAATCAGGATGATTTGAGGGAAGTATTTTTTGTTGAATTTCCAATGCTTTGTTGTGAGATGAGAGTGCTTTCAAATATTCACCCATCTTTTCATATACAGAACCAATGTTATTGTAAGAATAAGCTGTGGTATGATTATTTGAAGGATCTCATTTTTGTCGAATTTCAAGTGCTTCTTCATGAAATGAAAGGGCCTTTGAATATTCACCTGTTTCTTCGTAAATAGACCCGATTCTACTGAGTGTAGATGCTAACGCAAGATCATTTGAAGCAAGTATTTTTCGTTGAATTTCGAGTGCTTTTTCGTAATACATAAGTGCTGCTGTGTGTTTATTCATTTTTTCATATACTGATCCAATATCATTAAAAGTAGCAGCAAATGAAGAAGGATTTCGAAGTCTAATTTTTTGTTTAATTTTAAGAGATTCTTCATAATATATAATAGCATCTTCATATTTTCTTTCTTTTTTCTTATTCCAATCAAGTTGATGATAGAAATGTATTTTCTCACGATCATTATGTGATCGATCGACGAGATATTCGTATAATTCATTATCTCTATCAAATTGACCAATTTTAATTAGTAACTTACCAAGTTTATCCCATTCAGTCATTCCTCGAATTTCATAACGTATTCGTTCAGTAAGTTCATTTAGTTGCGGATCGTTGTCATTCGTCTGCATCAAGTTTACCTGCCATAGATGATCGTTTTCATTTATTGCTATTACATCACCAATTCGAAAAACGGTATGCATCGAATATAGAATTTCATCTTCTGTTTTGTAATAACTCACATCATTTACAGAAGCGAATGGGGTGGATTTTATTGCAGGATCAATTATCATTACGAAGACAACTCCTACTGAGGCTTGATTCGCAGGACAACTTTTAGCAAATCGAAGCGCTGTACTTAATTATTTGGTAATAGACAAAAAATTACTAAATGATATCAGTCCACCTTTTGTTTTCATAATTTTTTCTAAGTCTGTTTTTAATAAGCCTTGGCCTCGATAGATAGTAAATCGCTCTAATTGTTGGTATTGACTACTCTGTTCAGAATGCAATTGTACGATTTGTTGGTGAAGATTGTGAATAAAAAAACCCATTTTAATGAGAGTATCAACTTCCATTAATCATACAGCTCGGCTAAGAATCGAGTAAAGACAAGACTCTTGAGTATTCCACCAGATCGGTGAATGATTAGAATAATCTTTTTCGAATTCCTTAATAATTTTTAATTGAACAGCATTATCAACAAAATTTTCACGACAATAATTAGTAAAGTCTTCCAAATGTTGTTGATTGAAGTTGATTGTCAATAAAATTTCTTTCAATATTTGGGTATACATAAATGTTGTTTCGAACTGATTTAAATTTTCATTTAATTTTTCAATATGTGTTGATATAATGCTAATCGGCATCGAATCGTGATCACATTTTTGTGAGTCTTGTTTAAGAGCACCACCAATGGACGAAATTGATGAAAAAATATCTTTAACTTTTGACCATTGTTGTGTCAACTTTTTCTTTTGTGATTCATTTTTTGAAAAAATATAGATGGCATTAATTTCAATAATATTATGTACAACTGACACAATATTTTCATCTGATTCATGGGAAATAATCATAAGAACTTTTTCATCTTCAATATTAGTAATAGCATCAATGCATTCATCAATATCAGTAAATCTAATCACTGTATTAACAATTCGTCTTAATTCCGTGATGGAATTATGAATCTCATTATCATTTATTTCCTCGATCTCCGAATGTAACCAAATTAGAATAAAATTTTGAATAATATGAGCATTGAAAGGACGATTTGATTTTGTCTGTTTTGTAGGTTTTACTATTCCGATGAGATTGCATTTTTCCATATCATGCCAAGAATCCATATTGTATTGAATGTATATCGTTACGGTGAATAACTGAAAAACAAATGATGACAAAAGAAAGTAAAAAATTTCTATTTTTTTTGTTGTTTTTGAAAGACTCCGTCCGTTTCTTATTCAGCATTTGTTATTTATGTGTCAATCATGCCAGGAAGCAAAAGAATATCACGGCAAAAACAGCTTGCTTTTTTTTCCTTCATTTCTCTTGTTTTTGAAGAAACTTTCGAAAAGAATGAATCCTAATATTAAAAAAAATTTATATTGTTACCTACATCTAAATCCTCGAGAATAAATATCAAAATCAAATGTTTAATCAATAACTTAAAATATCTGTTCGACATTCGTCTGGTTAATAATTTGTCTTCCAGATAGATGTTTTTCTTATTCCAATAAGTAGCCTGTAATTTTAGATAAGCAACTTATTCTTAAATCGAGATCAGCATATTATCATTATCTATTGATAGATTCTGGTTTACATTTGTAAATATTGATCTTCTATAGTATCGGTTTGTATAGTGTTAATTTGCTTCAGTCAAAGAGGTGATGTAATTATTTACAAGCATAATTCAAAATTTCTGTATTTTAAACATATTTATTCTTATCTATCAGACTTTGATCAGAATTCTAACTCACTAAAAATGGGTGTGGGTGTGGGTGTGGGTGTGTGGGTGTCGGTGTGGATGTGTGGGTGTGGATGTGTGGGTGTAGGTGTAGGTGTGGAGGTGGGTATGCGTCTGGGCACACTGTCGCTCATTTCACACACACAGCAACATCTACACCGTCACCCACACCACCAACACCCAACCACACCACCCACACCCACCCACACCCAAACCCACAACCACCCTCACCAACCCACACTCAAACCCACACCCACACCCACACCCACACCCCACACCCACACACACACCCACACCCCACACCCACACCCCACACTCACACCCCACACCCACACCCACCCACACACACCCACACCCACTCCCACACCCACCTACACCCACACCCACACCCACACCCACACCCACTCCCACACCCACCCACACCCACACCCACACCCCCACCCACACCCACACGCACACCCACCCACACCCACACCCACCCACATCCACCCCACACCCACACCCACACACCCACACCCCACACCC